TGTAAAGTGGAGACTAAGTGACTTATAAAATCGGCTTTGGAATAATGAGCTTCCAACTCTGACATCTGCTTTGAATCCTGCTTGCGCTCAATACTGGAGAAATCATTAGCACCTGAGGCTCAGCCTGGACATGATGATTCCCGCTTGGCAGCTACTGAGAACCCCAAACCAACTTGTTAAAAATCATAATGTCTTGTCTGCGCATGAGATTGTCCGGCTAACTCTAGTCATATAATCCAAAATCCTGGTCCAGTTCATACTAGCTAATGAATTAAATGTACAGATTCAATTTATTCTAGTTGGAGCCCTTGGAACTGAGGTACTGAAGGCTCTACGGGCAGACAGTAAGAGCCTTGACTGCACTTTGACAGGCAACCTGTGCCATTCATGACATCCAGCACTTCCATTTAAGTGACCTTCAAGGCTCCTTCCTGCTCTATGCTTTTGTGCCTGATCTGTGGGAGTCTGTAGAACTGGGTTATTCTGAAACTGAGGGCCAAAAGCCTTATAAATCAAGCTACAATAGTATAACACACAGTACAGGAAGAAGGCTGTAAAAAGGTAAAGGTTCCCTTGCTCGAAAGCCAGTCGAATCCGACTCTAGGGTTGCGGTGCTCATCTCCGTTTCAAAGCCGAAGAGCCAGCGCTGTCCGAAGACGTTTCCATGGTCATGTGGCCGGCATGACTAAACACCAAGGTGCACGGAACGCTGTTACCTTCCCACCGAAGTGGTACCTATTTATCTACTTGCAATTTCTTGCTTTCGAACTACTAGGTTGGCAGGAAGGAAGGCTGTAGGAATAATAATACTATTATTAAATTATCTTTTCGCAGTAAAGGAGGTCTGGAAGCTATGAAATACGTATTTTTTGCCCATCTTTTAGAAATAATTAAAGAGCATTGTATTCCATTCCATCCGTTCCCATTTGGCTGGTGCCATAGGAAATCATGTTATTTTTTATTATATTATAAAATAACAGTGCAGTCCTAAACAGAGTAATACCCTTCTGTCTATTGAAGTCAATGGACTTCAGTGTAGAATGGCATGACTCTGCTGAGGATGACACTGATATGTGCTTTACACTTCCACTTCCAGGACCATTGCTACAGGATTTGCAGTTCAGTTCTAAGGATGTAAATCCCACTGAATTCAATGGGCTTTAGGATTCTAGCCCCAGTTTCTTATGGAAAGAAAGAACTGGAAACTTAGAGCATCTTTGTAACATTTTCTTCACGTACAAGGAAAGCTCATTGGAGGTGAATGCACTCTTTCAGTAGATAATGTATCAACTAATCCTGAATCAGATTTTGACAGAGCTGTTATAGCTGCTATCTGTGAATTGTCAGTTCAGTTTAGCTAATTTCAGCTAAATTCTCAGCATTTATTCAGCATCTATGTGAAAGTTGGAAAATGAAGAAAGTGGACAGGAAGAACATTTATTCATTTGAAACGTGGTGTTGGAGGAGAGTTTTATGGATATTGTGGACTACAAAAAATACCCCAATTACATGAGTTCTAGTAAACTCTCTCATGGATCACTGCCTTGATGTGGGGAGGGGGCTTGCATGGTTCGATGAGCCTGCGGGCTATGCCATGGAGGGCCACCCAGCATGGACAGGCCACGGCGGAGAACTCAGACAGAATGCGATCCACTGGAGAAGGAAATGGCAACCCACTCCAGTATCTTTGCCAAGAAAACCCCATGGACAGTAACAAAAGGCTAAAAGATAGGACACCAGAAGATGAGCCCCTCAGGTTGGAAGGTGTCCAATATCTACTGGGGAAAAGCAGCGGGCAAGTACAAGTAACCCCAGAAAGAATAAAATGGCTGGGCCAAAGCCGAAAGGGCGTTCAGCTGTCGATGTATCTGATGGTGAAAGGAAAGTCTGATGCTGCAAAGAACAGTACTGCATAGGAACCTGCAATGTAAGATCTATGAATCAAGGTAAGCTGGAAGTGGTCAAAAATGAGATGGAAAAACTGAAGACTGACATCTTGGGAATCAGTGAACTAAAGTGGACGGGAATGGGTGAGTTTAACTCAGAAGACTACTATCTACTACTGTGGCCAAGAAGTCTGTAGAAAACTAGCCTGCTACCCGTGCTTCGCTACGGTATTTAAGTTCCGAAAATCCAGTTATAATACTAGTGATGTGAAATCTGAAATGTGAAATTTGTTGAAGGAATTCTAACAGAGAAGACTGTAGTGTAAGAAATGAAGTGAGACATATGTCCTTTTTTCTCTCTCTACTGAAGGACCTCTCTGTAGACCACATTGGTGGTTCTGCCCTCAGGTGTTAGGATCACCAGGCTGCTTGATGAGCTTACTCTGGAGCAGGCAACATAGAACTGTCCATTTAAGAAGCAGTCATCTGTTAAGTCAAGTTCTGCTACCTCTCTACTTGTGTTCCTGGATTGTTTTGCTCATATGGAGACTGTGTTGTTCTGAGCACCTGGGTGATCCTGCTGGTACTTGGCCTGTGCAGCTCAGTGTACTGCAGGAGTACTATGTGCAAATGTCTTTGCCGCATTCCTAAGTTGCCTCCTCCTTGTAG